ATACCTCCATCTCCAGCAGCTATTCAGTCCTTAAAAGGGGTTGGCTTTTATTTTATTCTATTTATTTTTCTGCCACCATATATTCTAAAGACATGTAATGGATCAGCCCAGATATGTTTCATGTGAGGAGAGGGAAGGAAATAGCCTGAAAATCGTTTACAGTTCAACATTGACCTGATATTTGTGAAGATGAAAACTTACTCTACAGCATTTTTACTTTGTGATTTGAATTCAATGGGGTAAAAATCAGCTTAAAAAATCTTGTCATGATGCTATTTCCAAAGTAAAATAAGGAGTATCAGTGAGAACACACCACCCCAAGTGGCTCCCCTCCAGCTTCATAACCCAAATTTATTTTTGACATTGCATCATAAGACCAAAATGATTAATCTATAATAGATTATCTCACAAATCTGCAGCAGAAGAACAGAGGATATGATTTACTCAGGATTTGGCACACTGGCAATGGCATGTCACAGCAAAGGGTTCAATGAATAACATACAACAGAAAAACAAACTGGGGAGAGGCTGGGCTATTGCAGAGGGACTTCAACGTGGTGCAAGGGAACCTACCAACCCAACAGCTGCATTGACCACTGGCCACTTACCATAATATTTGAGCAAATAATTTCCATTGGCTTTCCAGAAGGACTTCTCTAAGTGCAGATGTTCCTCACAGCCTGCCTTGAGCTTGCATTTCATAAGTGCTAAGTACCTATAAAATAGAACGAGAGGGGTTTACCCTACCTTTGCAGTTGTCCTGTGGGGTCACAGGATTTGTGTTATGGAACTGCAAAGTGTAGTTATTTGTGAAAAGTGTTGAATTCCTGGGAGAAACACAAACAGTTGGATGGCTAAACCATGTACTTGTGCTACTTCAGTGCTCACTTTCATTACTGAGAGTAAAGGAATGTTTGTGGAGCCTCCTGCATAATTTACTGTATGTGAAACATTTACCATGGATAAATTTCAGCCTATGGAATTCCATTTAAAAGGGCAAGCATATTTTTTTTCTGGGACATGGCTACCCTTTGCACCAAACTTAGAAGCCAAAAGCAATCATAAAAAATCAGAGTAACATCCAAGTTCACAGGCACCATTTTCTGGTGACACTAAAAATGTATTTGCCAGTTAAAAAAAGTTATTGTCCTTTACTGTAATTTTAATAATTTATTGTGAACACTAGAAACTTCAGAGAAAATTCAGTCTCAGCTGTCTGACCTTGGCCAAATGCTGAAGAACAACCTGAGAGCAGGACACTGAAAAATGGAGGGCAGAGTAAAGCAGCTATGTACTCTTATTGCCGTTCAATGACACCTTCCTTCTGTAAAATCTCAAATTCACTTTTTACAGTATTTCCATATTTACTAAGTAACCTGGGATAATTATGTTGCTCTAACCTCGATTTCTTCTATTTTCAGGGAGATTTACCTGCCAGTCTAGGCTGTCTTTTCTGACATCAAAAGTTGAGCAAAGTTCTCTGTGTAGTAACAGGTTTTATTAGTCTGAAATGCCCCTTCCCTTGACCTGTTTGGACTTTCTTTTGCTAGTGCTTCTGTCAATCCTTGGCTTTCTGTGTGGGGCCAGTGAAGGTCTCAGACTCTAGACACTTCAGCCAGAACCAAGACTATTAATTTATTTGCGTGCACCATCAAGCAGCAATCGTCTTTAAATTGTTGACCAAAGGCAAAAGGGCGAGTCAGAACTCATGGAACTCTATCTCTCATGGAGCTACACGAGGATGGTGGCAGCAGGGTAGGTATGAAAAGGCTGTGGGGCCAGGGAAATGCCCCATGGGCCAGCTCTGTTGATAGACAGCTGTGACAGACAACATCAAGAAACCTCTATGTGTCTAATCTCCTGTTTAACTGCCAGCCCATCCAAAGGAGATGTTAATAGTTTCACATAGCTGGGATTTTGTCCCAGAGGTGAGGACTTTGGCTCTGTTGGTGAGTCTGGGTGATGGCAACTTTTCCTCTTTAGTCTTAAGGGCTCAACAGATGAAGCTTGCCAGGGTAGTGCTGACACTATCCAGCTTCTGCAGCAATGCACAACATAGCAGTGAACAATACAGGAAATAAAACAACATAGGAGAATAGGGCTGCTGCTGCCACAGATCCTGGGAAGCTTAAATTTAATTCCCTCCTCCTCCCTCTGTTGAGGCCATGCTCCTCCCCAGAGGCATCAGAAATTGTGTCTTTCCCTCATGCTCACCCAAGATCCAGGAAGGGGTTTCATTTCTCTCTGCTGGGAAGTAAGTTATATGTTGGGAATTACGCAGGATTTTTGACCTGGTTTACAGAAAAGGCAGCATTAACAGCTAAAATTTAGAGAGTAAAACAGTACTTCAAGCTTTTGGGGGATTGATGCAAGTGGTTCAGCTTGATGCAAATTTCTTTCATGGCCATTTTGTGAGCAAAAATATTGTCTCCATCTCTACCTCTACCTCTACCTTTAAGCATGGTACTTTTCATCCCAACCACTCCAACCACAAGCTGAGATCTCACCTACAGACCAGGAATGGTGGGCCATGCCACCAATCAATAGCAGAGATTGCCACAGAGCTTGAATTTTACACATATATGAAATATATACAAAATATATAAGGTTTCACATCTCCAATGGGAAGTATCAAGGGCCTTAGTAGACACAGAGGGCTGAAAGCACCTGCATTGAAACAGGAGTGAGGGCAGGTCTAGGTCAAGGGTTTGGCTCAGAAAGTAGAGAGCAGCAGGGTTTCATTCCTGGCCGTGCAAAGATCTGAAATAACACTCTGCCTCATGCCTTACTTCCCATCCATGGCATTCCAACCATGGAAAACCTGCTGTACTTATGAGATGCTAAAACTCCTCTCATGCTTTGGGGTTATATAAATGCCATGAAAACACACAGAAATGGACATGGAAAAGCAGCATGCAGATCCTGGTCCCAGTCAGCCTGAGAGCCTGTGTCCTACTCTACCACTGTTGCTTCAAGCTCAGGAGTGCAGGTGAGTGACAATGTGTCACTCTGCAGCTGATGGCCCCAGCCCTGAGTCCACAGAGTTCAGGGGTCTTGGAAGTACGCTGTAAAATGTAACAAGTGGTCTTTTTTGTTGTTGTTTCTGTGAAAGCCAGTAATCACAGAACTAAAGTACAGTTGGATGAACCATAGTTTACTGCCATGAACTTCTCTTGCCTGTGTTTTTCTAAAGGCAACACCATAGATGATGAGATGGCTGCACTTTGGACAAAACAAATGCTGTAACAGGATGTAGCTGTAACAAACCTGTCAGAGCTCATAAACAAACAGTCATCCATTTAATCACTAATTATTAATCCAATTCTGATCTTCAGTTACTCAAAATGAACTGTTTAAAAAATGTGATACGTGTTAGTCTAAAGCAATTTAAAAACATGCGTCCAAAAGTAATGCTTTGGTTACTGTGGGACAATCCATCTGTTATTACAAGAAAATTAGGACAGGAAAAATAAACCTTATCCTATGAAATCAGCCATATGAGAGAAGATTCCTTTTAAAACTGCCTCCACCTGAAATCCTGAGTGCTGAAGGAGGCAAACAAGCATTAATGAGCAGGACTGCAGCCTGCACCATATTCCTGCCCCTCTAAAGCAGCAGAATTACAAAATAGATGGGCGTGAAAGAAATCACAGATTTGTTACAGATATCTGCTGCTTAGTGCCTAAAAAATTTAGTTTATGGAGCCTCTCAATCTGTGTATGGAAATCAGTCAACAGCAGAAGCACTTCTGACCTCCTTGAAGATTTTTAGCATAATCTCAACTCTTCTTAAAATCTTTCCAAGCTAACAATATCGTATTCTTGGATTTTAGTTGTTTTAGTTTTTTTAATCAAAACTGTATATATGTCAAATTTGTCGAATGACTGGACAAAGCAGTGTTAAAAATTCAACTGCACTAATTACTAGCTGAGCAGCATAAAAACCTCTGAATAAATGTCAGTCTAGGAGATAAGCTCTTATCTTAATCTAATGACTCCACAGACTTAATTTGTCAGGCCAGCCTAGTTGATGAAAAACAGGTTTCTATTCTCCAGTGTTAGCAGCTGCATCTTTCCAAATCTTTGAAGCTGGATAGTAATACCATCAGTGTCATCCTGCAAAAATCTTGTGACCAAGCCAATTCCATTGCTATTGTCCTGTTACACTAATTAAAGTTGTTTTACCCCCATCGGTGTGCAATAGGTGAAAATGAAGTCAATTTATTTTTAGATTTGTTATATTCTGGGATAATCATTCTTGCTTCCCACTGCCCACAATGATGTGATAATATTTGCAGCTCTCTCTCAGTGTCAGAAAGCGAGGCTTTTTAGCAGGGCTCCACAGACAGCACAGTGCTACCCCAGAAAAATTCCTGCAGTGCAAACAAAGCACCCAAGTATGTGTGTATGGTTTATTTGTGTAGAGAAGAGTAATTTTGAGCTCAGGCAATGAATTTAATCTTAAGAGATGATTTTAGATTTTTGAAGTTCTTCCTTAAAGGAGTATTTGACATATTTAGAACTAAATGCACCCAAATGTTCATAGTGTTTGGGCAAAGTGGATTAGCAAAGAGGAAAAAAAATAAATTGGCTGCAGCCACTACCCCAATCTTCAACTGATGGGAACCTGGTAGGCCTTTTTTGCTGAGTGCCCCATTTCAAAGGATACCATTTAAGCATGGTACTTTTCATCCCAACCTCAAAACTTTGAGAGATATCCTTGGGAGTTGGGAGATAAACTATATTCTGATGATACTCAGGAAGATGACAGTAACAAAAAACCTGATGAAAAAAGTAACAAAAACCTGATGAAAATAATAGTGCTAAGGTGAAATCTACTGAGGCAAATCCAAGAGGCCAGTCCTGCTCTGTATACAGTGTTGGCATTGACATTATTAACTTTATCAACATTAGATATATCAAGATATTTACCTGCTCTGTTGTATCTGGTTTTATAGCAGTGCAACTCCACTGACTTCAGCAGCACTTCACATCATACAACTAGGAAAAGGGAGTGGAGAGTTAGCCACCTTTTTCTAGTACTGCAAAATCCCTGATGCCCAGAGCTGATTGGTCTGAAGCCCGTGTTACTTTCTGGTCTGGCAGGAGTGCAGGGTCAGAGGTAGCTCTGTGTGGCTGCAGCACAGGTCACCCTGGGATTTGTTTTGGAATGCTTTAGAAGCATTTCACTGTTTGGCTGGGAACACCCTCTTGGATAACACAAATTTAATCAATTAGATCACAAATGTCCATCCTCTTGGGTGAGAACATTGCTTGCTTGCAAATTTAGTCTAAGCAGGACTGCAAGGGGACCACACAGGTCATGTGCTGGCATATCTACAAAAGTATTCAGGAGCCGGTCCATGTACATTTTCACTTCAAAGGCTCATGTGTGAGCATGGACAGCCTGTTTAACATCTGAGTCGTCCTGGCTGTGATGTGAGTTGGGTGCCAATACTGTAGCAGCCAAAGCCTGTGAGCCCATGCATGCAGGCCACGTTGTCTAGATGGGTTTCTTCACCTGCAGCAGTGCAGATCCTCAGCAGGGATTCTCATAAAGGCTGAGAAGAAGGGTGGGAAGGTTCACAAGCTGCAGAAACCTTTAAATCAGAAACTGTAATTTACCCCACCTAGTTGTGTTCTGCATCTCTTGTGTACAATGGCATCTTCTAACATCCTGGCTAACACATCATTGTTTATGGCATCTTCCTGTTAGTTGAGAGCCATAACACACCTTTCTTCCTGTTTTACCCAAAACCATGCAGAGTTTGCAGAGTAGTGACAGGTGAAGTGCTCACAGTCCCTAATGTGACCCAGAATGACAGGGTTGCTGGATAAATTAGAGCCAGATTTCCACAGATATATGAGATCTGAATACAGATGAGTACCTACTTCAGATTTTTAAAGCTTCCAGGCTCCATGCTGTCATGGAGTTGAGAGCACAAGGGTTTTTGAAAATCCCGGAGTCTGAAACATATTTAAGGACTGCTGCCTATTGCTTCCTTGGATCAAGACAACTGAACTCTTTGAAAGCACTGGGCTGCAGTCAGTATCTGTCTGATCTTCTGAACAATAATTAACATTTGGTGCATGGTCTGCAACCTTGAGGCCTCATCTGACCAAATGTGAATTTATATCCATTGGTTTCATCATGGAAGTGATGGTTCACTCTGAACATGCCAAATTCATTTATGTTAGGGTTATGGCCTGGAATAGCATTTTTTTAGTAAGAATTAATTTCTCCTGCTCTGAGTCACAGTTTCAAACTACAGACCATTCCCAACACACCTGAAACAGAAAATGAACACATTGAAGTAAAATTTTCAAAGTGACATTTGAACCCCTTCTCTCTGATTTGATGATCTCTCTGATCAATGACCCAATCTATTGATCCAGTCAAATGACTGCAGCCTCCTCAGGTATACCCTGCAAAGTCTCCTTGACCAGTTCATTACCACAATTCTTCAGGTGCACTGTGACTGTCTTTCAGGGGAGGACAGGTGCCAGCTAATCAAGTTGAAAAAATTAAAACTCCCATAGATTAAATTCTAGTCCTGGTGAAAGATATGGCAAAATTCCCATGGAAACCAGTGACTACTTTATCTTAAGACATTATCTCAAGTCTGAATTGCCATTGGAATACTGACTCCCAGATTTATGCAATGAGTTTAACTTGGAATTAACAAATTTATTGCCATTTCCTCAGCAGCTGGAGCAGTGAAGGGGCTGGCTCACAAAGGAGCCATTCCCTAGGGGTGGTGTAGTAGGATCCAGCTGGCTTGGGTTGGGCTGCCCATGCTTCAGGAGACTTTGTGGTTTCATGACTCCCTTTGCTCCCTCTATACTCTCCAACACTTGCTCCTGTCATTCCGCTACAAAAAAAGTTTACCTGCTCTGGCCTGCAAAGGAGCCCTGCTATTTTTGGACTGCAGCCTATAAGAACAAGTTTGGATGCTAAGGAAAAATAAATCATTCTGAAAGAAAAAAACTGGGTCCTTTATGGAAAAATATTGTGACTCCCAATCTGAAGGCTGTGGATCCAGATAATAAGTAATCTAAACCTAAAAAGGGGTCTGTCATGGTGAGATACAAAAATGTAGGGGTAACTGCCAGGTTTGAGATTGGTCTTGATGAAGTATTAGTGCTGGCAAGCCAATAATGAGCTAAGGCCCATGGTGAGCCTGCAACAAGCTGGGCCACTTGGCTTGACTAAATGAAGTCCAAATGCTGGCACCACTGCTGGAGGCAGGACAAGCATATTCAAAAGGAAAAAGATGTCTTTCTTGATTTGCAATAAGAGTATCACAGTTCACCCACCTTGTGTGTGAGTGCAGGGCAGTTTGTGCCATGTTAATACCTTTGATGCAGTATTCCTAAAAGGAAGTGTTTGTCAATTTTGGTATAAGTGTTTGGGCACAATAGCCTTAATTCAATGTGTCAGATAAGAGAAAATCATGTTGGCTTATATTTATGACTTTTCACTTCTATCTTAGCACTAGAGATGTTTGGAGAGCAAATCAACTCTTCAGTTTGTGTTTTGCTTTGTTGTTTTTTTTAATCCATCTAAGCTTTGCCAGCCAAATCCGTAACACTTATTGCCATGTCTGCTGCAGAATAGGTGGGAAGACATCTGAAATGCACTGAGGGGGTATTTTTGATAAGTCACCCATTATGTGACTTAAGGGAAGGGTAGAGAATTGAAGATAGGCAGGAAGTGAAGACGTGCTCTTGATGGGTACCTGATGCACATACTATTGCACAGGTCAAGGAGAGCCACAGCCAAGGGAGCACTACTGATGCCTTGCACTTCTTGTGGCCCTTGGGCACAGTCAGGATTCTTGACCTGAGATTGGAGAAATAATGAGCCTGGACCCTCAAGTGAGTAAGACCCATAGGAAAAACAAAAAAAACCTTCTAATGAATAAAGAAAAGGCCAGAATTTAAGCTGTTTGTACCAAGGTAAAAGAGCCCAGATCATCTCTGGAATTTCGGTGCTTAAGTGTCTTTGTTTAGGATCCTGTCCCAAATGTCTTTGATAACCTGGGTTGGTATGGGCCTCATATCTAGAGACTGGTTAGCAAATCTCCACTAACACTAAAACAGAGAACTGGCTTGTTAATTCTACCACCTGATCATGACTGTTTTTTGAGATGGGGCCAAAGCAGGTACAGAGCTGGGTTAATCTCAGTTGTTCCACAACATGCTATACTGCCATTTAGAACGGCTGCTGAAATGTTTGGGTGAGGCTCTTTCTTGCCTTTATAGCAGTGCAGTGCTATATTGAGAATGAACAGCTCTGTGGAGACTGGCTTCCCTCAAGTGGGATGCTCTCTCCTCCTTCACAGAAGTCACAGGTGTGGCCACACTTGGACTGATTTGGACAGTTTTGGGCACAGCAGTATAAAAGGATATAAAACTATTAGAGATCATCCAAAGGACAGCTATGAAGATGGTGAAGTGTCTGGAAGAAAAGTCATATAAAGAGCAGCTGAGGTCAGCCTGGGCAAGAGGAGACAGAAGGAAGACCTCATTGCAGTCACAGCTTCCTTGTGAGGGAAGCAGGAGGGGCAGACTGATCTCTGCTCTGTGGTGATTAGCGACAGGACCCAAGGGAATGGCCTCTAGTTGTTTCATGAGAGAAGTCTCTTCACCCAGAGGGTGACTGGGCACTGGAACACCTCCCCAGGGCAGTGGTCACAGCACCAGCAGAACTTGACAGACTTCAAGAAGCATTTGGTCAACACTCTCAGGCACATGGTGAGACTCTTGGGAATGTCCTGTGCAGAGTCAGGAGTTGGACTTGACAATCCTTTCAACCCAGCACATTCTGTGATTCTGTGATTTTGGCCTTGGTAAGTGCACACTGATGATTTTCCACTTCTGTTTCAAAGGGAACCTCCAGCCACTCTCAAGTGCCAGTAACTATTTCCCCTGTTACAGGCTCAGCTTCCCTGCATTCTTTGGGAGGAGAGGCTCATAATAAAGGAAGCAGTAGAGCTACCCCGATTTTTAGGACTGACAGTAAAGGTACCCAGTTAACAGACTGAGTGAGGGGACTCAGATTTGCTTGCAGAATCCCATGTGAATTGCACTGTTCTTCCAATCAAAGTGATTGTGAGAAATTCTGATTTTCAATTCTTTTTTATTTTTGCATATGGGAAAGAGGATGCCTTTGTGCAATGACTGTTTAAAAATACTTCAAAAGAACTTGAATCAGTCCATGGCTGCACTATATACAAATTAAAATAATTGATTTTTTGGCAGCCTTTTAAGAGATCTATAAATTAAAGGGATTTCTGATACATTTTGGGGGACTTTATTTCATATCAGCTTTCAGAGTGCCCTCCCTCACAGTGCTGAAAGTCAGCCACAAAACCAGACAGACCTCTCATTTACTCTGCCCTCCTGACTCAGGAATCAGTGGATCTCCTTTGGAAGTGACCATGGTTGGGCATGGTGGGTCCTGGACCCCTGCCAGCTCTGCACCCATCCCTTTCATTACTTCTTTGAGAACTTTACATCAAGAAATAGAAACTGCCCAAAACCCACCCCACTGGGGAGTTAGTTCCTCTCTTTTTCTCCATTAGTAGAAACTGATTCCCTCACCCAGTTTGTGTTGCACCTGGGCTGTCCCCATTCTGTGCTCTGATGGCAATGGGTTCAGTTCTATCTGTGATGACCTAAAAATAGCACTCAATTAACATTGCATTTCAAGAATTGGAAAATTTCCCAGAAGTCCATTCTTTTTTTCTTTTTCTGTTTCATTACATTTTACAGTAATAATACACAAGCCTGTAGAAAACATGACGGGTAATGAAAAAATGTAATTAATATAAGCAGTGTAAAGCATTTTTTTTCCCTCTGTTGTCCTTGCAGAAAATTACTGCTTTAAACTGAGCAGGATGTGAAAATGCATAAAGCAAACAGTAATATGCTGTGGTTTGTAAATATCTTATGCAAAATAGTTAAATCTACTGCTGTTTATTTTTCTTACTTTGTGT